GGTTGGTGAAAGGGCTGGAGGGAGGCAGCATGTCTGGCCTTGCAGTAATAGGCCTTGGGTTACTGCTGGTAATCCTGTCTTCCTCTCGTGGGATTAGAGGAGGTCAGAACATGTGGCTTCCTTGCTGTTTTTGCATCAATGAAATACACAAAGTATCAAAATGGAAAAATGTTCTCACTTAATGTAGTGAAAAAAAGCATAACCACCACACTAACAAATTATGTTAAGCATTTCTGTGGGTTAGCCACTGTACTAGGAGCTCTGGTAGCATGGTGCCTAAGGCACTTGACTGCTAACCAGAAGGCTGGTGGTTCAAACCCACCAGCCACTCCTCAGAAGGAAGGTTGGGCAATCCTATTTCTGTAGTGATACTGCCTCGGAAACCAAAGGAGGGGTTGCAATGAGTTGGGGCCGACTCGACGGCACATAACAACAACACAAACAACACAGCCACTGTATTACTGAATATTTTACATGTATCATCACATCTATTTCTTAAAACATTCTGTAAGAACTATCATCTCCCTTGTATAGATCATCCCATTATAAAACAAATGCAAAGAGAAATAATGCCCTCAATTAAATAACGCACAGCCAGACTCTAGAAAGAGTATTTTAACCACATGATGATTACAACTTGGTGTATTACAACTGTAAAAAGTACACAAACATTCTGGAAGTGTATATGGCTGTTATTCCTTATAAAATACTCTGTTAAAATGTTGCTTTGAGTCCAAAAATATTAAACTTAAAAAAAAATTTACACTCTTCAAGCATCTTTCACACTGGGGCACAAATGACAGCTTCTGGTATATTAAACCACCACGTGTCTGTCAGTCTATCGGACTGTGGTGCCTTGTGCGTTGCTGTGATACTGAAAGCTATACACCAGTATTTCAAATATTAGCAGGGTCACCTACGGTAGATAGGCTTTAGCATAGCTTCCAAACTGGATCTCATGATCTACTGGTGAAAAAATATTGGTCAGTGAAAACCTTATGAATAGCAGCACAACACTGTTTGATATGTTGAAAGACAAAGCCCTCAGGTTGGAAGGCACTCAAAATATGAATGGGGAAAGCTGCCTCTTAAAAACAGAGGGGACTCCAATGATGTGGGTGGAGTAAAGCTTTCGGAACCTTCATATACTGGTGGGCCATGACTCAAAATTGAGAAGAAACAGTTGCAAACATCTATTAATAATCAGAATGTTAAGAAATGGAATGCCTGAAGATAGATATCCTAGGCATTGATGAGCTGAAACAGACTGATATCAGCCATTCTGAATATAGTCTTCTTTACTGGGAATGACAAATGAAAAGGAATGAATCACCTTCATTATCAACAAGAACATTTCAAGATCTATCCTGAAATACAATACTGTCAATGATAGGATAGCATCCATACTTTTACAAGGAAGATCAGTCTGTACGACTATTACTCAGATTTACACACCAACCACTAATAACAAAAAAGAAATTAAAGATCTTTACCAACTTCTACAGCCTAAAATTGATCAAATATGAAAACAAGATGCACTGATAATTACTGATTAGAATGTGAAACTTGGAAACAAAGGAGAGGCATCAGTAATTGGAATATATGGCTTTAGTAATAGGGCACAAGAGATCACATGACAGAATTTTGCAAAACCAATGACTATTCATTGCAGATACCCTTTTTTCAACAAGATAAACGGTGACCATACATTTGGCCAGAATACACAGGGACCAAATTGACTATATGTGTGGAACGAGACAATGGAGAAGCTCAATATTATGAGTCAAAACAAGGCCAAGGGACAACTGCAGAAGAGACCATTTATTACTCATATGCAAGTTCAAGTTGAAGCTGAAGAAAATTAAAACAAGTCCATGATAGCCAAAATACGACCTTGAGTATATCCCATCAGAACTTAGCGACCATGCATTTGAACACCAATGACGGAAGACCAGCTAAGCTGTGGAATGACATCAGGAATATTATACATGAAGAAAGCAAAAATCATTAAAAACAGGAGAGAAAGGAAAGATCTAAATGGATGTCAGAAGTGACTCTGTAGTTGAACCTGCGGGCTTGGGACTATAGTCACAGGGGACATCAAGCTCAACTGGCATAACATACTATACAAAACATTGTTCCACCTCCTACTTTGGTGACTAGCGACTGGGATCTTAAAAGCTAGCAAGCCGCCATCTAGGTGCAACGATGAGTCTCTCCTCGTCCAGAGCAAAGAAGAATGAAGAAAACCAAAATTCATGGAAACAATTAGTCCTAGTGATTGGTACACCATCCGACCTGCAGCCTATACAACTATGAGACCAGAAGAACTAGATGGTGCCCAGCTACCACGGTCATCTACTTGGAAGGGGATCTATGTAGGAGATCCTTGATAGAGAGGGAGAACAATGTGGAACAAAACTCAAAATCATTTGGAGGAAAAAAAAAGGGGAGGGGAACCAGGTTTGCTGGTCCGATAGAGCCTGGTGGAACCACTGAGACTATGGCCCCTAGCGGCCCTTCAGGTCTGGAATTGAACCCACACTTGTGGTTTCCAGCCAAACAAAATACAGGCATATGAGTTGAACATTTACCTCAAGCAGATACACTCCTTGGAGAGAACAATCATGGGACAAAGAAGGGCTGCTTATGCACAGGGAGACAGCTCAGGGGGCAGGAGTGTATGAAGGGATGGACACTGGGAAGAGGTAACTATGGGGAGGAAGTGGGAGGGGAGCTGTTGCATTGTTGTAAACTGTGGTCAATGGCATGAGACAAAGTATATGTGAACTGCTGTATGGAAAGTGAATTTGCTCTGTAAATCGTCACCCAAATCACAATAAAAATAAATAATAAAAAAAGAAGTGACTCTGAAACTTGCTCTTAAACGGACAGGAGCTAAAGCAAACAGAAGAAATGAAGAGCTGAACAGAAGATTTCAAAAGGCAACTCAAGAAGACAAAGTATTACCAAGAAATGTACAAAGACCTGGAGTTTCTCAAGCTGGAAATACTGAAGAAAAATTCAAGTCTCCAGTTGCAATATTGAAGGATTCTACAGGCAAAATACTGAATGACACAGGAATCATCAAAAGAAGACAGAAGGAAATACAAAGATTCATTGTACCAAAAAGAATTGGTCAACGTTCAATCATTTCAGAAGACAGCATATGATCAAGAACCAATGTCACTGAAGGAAGAAGTTCAAGCTGCACTAAAAGCAATGGTGAAAAAACAAGGCTCCAGAAAATGACGGAATACCAATTGAGACATTTCAACACATGAATACAACTCTGGAAGCACTCACTATCTATGTCGAAAAATCTGAGACACAGCTATCCAGCCAACTAACTCAAAGAGATCTGTATCTGTCCCTAATCCAAAGAAAAGTGATGCAATGAAATGTGGAAATTATCAAACAATATCATTAACATTACATGCAAAATTTTGCCAAAAATAATTTAAAAATGGTTGCAGCAGTACATCAACAGGGAACTGTCAGAAATTCTAACTGGATTCAGAAGAGGACATGGAACAAGGGATATCATTGCTGACATCAGGTGGATCCTGGCTGAAACCAGAGAATACCAGAAATATGTTTACCTGTGTTCTATTGACTATGCAAAAGTATTCGTCTCTGTGAATCATAACTAATTACAGATAACATTGTGAAGAATGGAAA